GGAGGAAGAGGAGAAGAGGAAGAGGAGAAAGAGGAGAAGAAGAAGACAGGGAGAGGAGGAGGAGGAGGAAAAGTAGAAGAAGAAGGAGAAGGCGGAGGAAGAGGAGAAAAAGACAAAGAGGAGCAGAAGGAGGGGGAGGAGGGGGAGGAGAAGGAGGAGAAGAGGAGGAGGAAGGAGAAGGAGAAGGGGGAAAAGAGGAAGAGGAGGAGGAGAGGAGGAGGAAAAGTAGAAGAAAAGAAGGAGGAGGAGAAGAAGAAGAGAAGGAGAAAAAGAGGAAGAGAAGGAGAGGAGGAGGAGAAGGAGAAGGAAGAGAGGTGGAGGAGGAAAAGGAGGAGGAGGAGAAGAAGAGGAGGAGGAGGAGAGAAAGAGGAGGAAGAGGAGAAAGAGGAGGAGAAGAGGGGGAGAGGAGGAGAAGGAGGAGAGGAGGAGGAAGAGAAGAAGAGGAGGAGGAGGAGAAAAAGAGGAGGAGGAGGGAGGAAAAGGATGAGAAGAAGAGGGAGGAGGAGAAAGAGGAGAAGGGGAGGAAGAGAGGTGGGGAGGAAAAGGAGAAGAGGAGGAGGAGGAGAAGGAGGAGAAAGAGGAGAAGAAGACGGAGAGGAGGAGGAGGAAAAGTAGAATAAAAGGAGGAGGAGGAGGAGGAGGAGGAGGAAGAGAAGGGGAAGGGGAAAGAGGAAGAGGAGAAGAGGAGTGGAGGAGGAGGAGGAGGAGGAGGAAGAGAAGAAAAGAAGGAGGAGGAGAAAGAGAAGAACGAGGAGAAAAAGAGGAGGAGGAGCAGTGGAGGAGGAAAAGGATGAGCAAAGAGGAAGTGGAGGAGAAGGAGGAGGAAGAGAAGGAGGAGGAGGAGAAAGAGGAGAAGGAGAGGAGGAGGAAAAGTAGAAGAAAAAGGAGAAGAAGAAGGAGAAAGGGGAGGAAGAGAAGGAGAAAAAGAGGAGAAGGAGAAGAAGAAGAAGAAGAAGAAGAAGAAGAAGAAGAAGAAGAAGAAGAAGAAGAAGAAGAAGAAGAAGAAAAAGAAGAAGAAGAAGAAGAAGAAGAAGAAGAAGAAGAAGAAGAAGAAGAAGAAGAACAACAACAACAACAACAACAACAACAACAACAACAACAACAACAACAACAACTACTTTCGCTTCTCCTCCATACAACACAGCTCCCCTCAGCCAGAGTCGCTGGGCCATCGCCAAGGATGAGGAACATTGATCTGGAGAGGTGCCAGAAGAACGTCAATGAGCACCATAAATGAGTCTCAAAGTCCCGGCTTATCTGTCCTCCATCTCAAGGACGGAGCGCTTGTTTTGCAGGAAGAACCTTGGAGAATTCCGCTCGGGAGGAAAACCCCGGGTCACCTGCCCCCGAGCAGATGACCGGAGTATTCGGGCATAAAAAGGAGACCTCCCGGTCCCGGGAACCACATCTGCTGTGGACCTCCGTAAGCAGAAGAACCAAGGATGGGAGGCTACTTCTGGAAGACCTTGCTGGTGCTTGGGGCTCTTTCGGCCTCTGGACGTTGTGAACTGTCGCACAAGCCACTGACCTATCAGAAAGCTCTGGAGCTTGGCGTGGCCAACTACAACAGCAAGGCCGAGGAAGACTCGCTCTACCAGCTGCTGGAAGCTGTCCCTCAACCTGAGTGGGTAGGTATTCTTCACTTCAGGTCCGTCGTGGAGTTGAGTCTTTGTAGAGTAGACCCATCCCTGAGACTTCTAGGGACCTCCTTCTCCTCCACCCACCCTGTTCTCCAAGCGTTGGAGATCTGAATCCGCCTTCATCTATGGTCAAGCAAGATGATGGGCCTGGTATGAAGAACATCTGGAACCCTTATGGGATGTAGAATAGACCCATCGTTTATTGGATGTAGAGTAGACCCATCCTTTATAATATGTAGAGTAGATCCATTCTTTATAATACATAGAGTAGATCCATCCTGTAATATGTAGACTAGATCCATCCTTTATAATACGTAGAGTAGACCCATCCGTTATGGGATGTAGAGTAGACCCATCTGTTATTGGATGTAGAGTAGACCCATCCATTATTGGATGTAGAGTAGACCCATCCTTTATGAGGTGTAGAGTAGACCCATCCGTTATGGGATGTAGAGTAGACCCATCCCTTATTGGATGTAGAATAGACCCATCCTTTATAATATGTAGAGTAGATCCATCCTTTATAATATGTAGAGTAGATTCATCCTTTATAATATGTAGACTAGACCCATCCTTTATAATATGTAGACTAGATCCATCCTTTATAATATGTAGAGTAGACCCATCCTTTATAATATGTAGACTAGATCTAGATATGTAGAGTAGACCCATCCGTTATGGGATGTAGAGTAGACCCATTATGGGATGTAGAGTAGACCCATCCCTTATTGGATGTAGAATAGATCCATCCTTTATAATATGTAGAGTAGATCCATCCTTTATAATATGTAGACTAGATCCATCCTTTATAATATGTAGAGTAGACCCATCTTTATAATATGTAGACTAGATCCATCCTTTATAATATGTAGAGTAGACCCATCCTTTATAATACGTAGACTAGATCCATCCTTTATAATATGTATAGACCCATGCTTTATAATATGTAGACTAGATCCATCCTTTATAATATGTAGATTAGATCCATCCTTT